CTGCTCGTGCTGCTATCCAGAGCTTCCTCTTCCTACATAACAGTATTTGGACTCAACATAGAAACGCCCCATTTCTCAATCCTAACTTTCAAAGCTCTTGATCATATGTGAGACATTTTATCTTTACTCTCTCCCCTTCCCCTTTTACCTAAAATTAATATTCTGAATAGAAGGTGTCCAGTTGTGCAAGAGCAACCTCAATGTAACAAATTCAAGGCTCTGATCCCATTATGTGGCCTCAGCTATACAACATCTCTCTTCATCTCTACATTGCAATTTTTCTGAATTCCTGAATGCAAGGTCCCCATACCAATTCAGGAAGAGCTCTGACACCTCCAACATCTGCCCTACAACGCTCCTTCCCATCTTGCAGGTGTAGAAAAGGCCTTAGTACACAGCTCTCTAAACAAATTTGTCAACCTTTGTCTTGGAAGGCATCAGCTGTTCAATCCTCCTTGTTATGGTAGATTCTTTGAGAGAGACTACATGGGGGGGAGGGGGAATTAAAAGACTGCTGAAATAACATTTTTCTGTTTGTGGCACCAGTCAGGACAGTATCTTGAGAGTAAAATCAAAAGCCAGTATTCAGTATTGCAGTGGTGCATGGTATGTCATGACGTTTCTAAGACATCACCTACCTTCCAGATCTGAACAAACTTAGACAGATACTTGGATTATAAGAACGTATAAAACAGGCAGACATTGTACCTCCAAGTAAGCAGGAGATCCTGTGGCCAAGTTTTGAACCAAACAGATGGTAACATGAATTGCCAGTTAGACATGGTCCCAAAAAAACCCATAACTTACAAAGACAACTTGTAAATGTAAGCCTCATGAGCAAAGGCTTGTTGTAGCCTTTGTGGTTCTCCAAACAGTAGCATGTAAAGGGATATGATGGAATATCACAACTTCTCCTGACTTCAGAAGTACTCAAAGTTGGAAAAGACAGTGAACTTGTGATCTAAACAGACTAGATGTTCACAAACAATTTTAAATACCTGCCAATTTTTCTGAGTTTACATGTTCAATTTTGTTATACTGAATCCTGTCCCCTGCCCTCTACCCAGAGCTCTGTGGTGTATAAACACCCTGCAAACAAAGGAAAAAGAACAGCACATATAAAAAAGAAAAGAATGAAAAGAAACTCTTGTTAAAAAAGAGAGAACCACCAAATAAAACAGGAACATTCTTTCTCCCTCACGCCCAATAACATGTGGGGAATCATTGAAAAAAAAAAAAATTGTTGCCTTATGTATTACTTGTGAAAAACATGTTCTTCCAAAGCTAGTAATTTATTTTTTGTAGAGTGCACCAACTGTTATTCAACCTCTTCGCTACCCACTTGTTTGTCTTTTTTCCCCATTATAAAAGGGATTTAGATTTTTTAAAATGTACTCATCTGTAAACCACATGTCAAATTGATTAAATGACCCAAATAAGTTATAAAAAGAGATCTGATATACAGCAGAGTGAGCAAGAACTCTGGAACCTGCAATCAACCCTCCCCCTAAATGACTATCCACCTAGTGAACGTCTTTTTTCTGTGTAATACTTTCCCCATACTCCTAATAAAATGTTTGTTATCTTACCTACTATAAAATTATAGAGATTGAAGATACTGTAAAGGCATTTTTTTAACTGATTGATACTGATATTTAAAATCATACACATTCTTAGAGGACAAGTAACACCTACACTTGTAGGCAAGTGATAAGGGTAATTTTTGGGGCTGTCTTGTAACATGAGGATAAAACAATGTTACGTTTCATGGTGGACAGGCAATATGTGGACAGACAAGGAATGACCAAGATCAGCTGTCTGAACTAGGCTTGACTGAACATACTTTCTGCTTTAATAATCTTTCATGTTACCCTACCTTGAATAATCATTTCAGATTATTTAAGCTTTTCAATATCACCCAACATTTCTGTATTCAGTGATGAAATACGGTTTTACACAACTTATAAGAACCAGCTGTAAATTAGAAGAGGTTTGCCATTTCAAAGCTTTGAAGCTCACTTCACCTCTGATATGCCGTAGCTACCCAACTTGTTTAGTTGGCAAATGGTATTGATAAACACTGTTGAAAAGGTCAAAATCGTAGGGTCCATAGATATTGAAAGGAGTGCAAAACTCTTCACTTCAACAAGCCATTTGTATAGGCTAAGCACTCAACATCCACGCAGCCACCCCCACCATTTCTGATGGCGATCACTTCCCTTTTTGCTTTGGAATGACATAAAACCTCTCTCTTCCTAAGCCTCTCACAACAGCTTGCGATGCCAGACGTGCAAAAATTCCAGGCTCGTGTCTACTGCACGTGGCTTAGCCCATGAACTGTACAGAATTACTCAGACCCGATGCTCACACTGCGAGCCTGACGTATGACATGTATTTTCAGACCTAAAAACTCCAGAGGGCAATATCCTAATTTGTTGAAACATTCAAAAAATCTGAAAGTTTTACTGAAATATGGTCAAAAAAAGGAGGGGGACACC